AACCCTATTTCTCCAATCTTATTTATACCTCAGGAATAACATGAAGGGGGTAGCTGGTAAGACCTATACCCATTTTAGTTTTGAGATTACCACACTTGATCTTAGCAAAAAGGCCGAGAAGCAATTAGTTTTGAGATTACCATGGAGCCATCAGAGAAATCTTAGTATATGTGCTGCCAAAGTGAGCACCATCAAAGAAATCTTAATGTCTCTAAAAGCCTGCTTCATTTCTTTCAAGAAGTACCAAAGGACTGAAATGGGAAAAATAAACTCAGTGCCACTGGTCCTAGTCATCTGCTTCCTCCCACTAAGGTACCACCTCCAAGAAGGAGGAAACAAGGGTCACTAAGGCTCTCTAGAAATTCCAGGTGAAAGAAAAATGACCTCCCCACCATCTTGAGGGAGCTAAAAGTGACCGTGGTTATTCCAGGCTTCCTTACCTGTTGAAGAGTGCACCCAGCAACATACTGCTGAGCCTCTGAAGGGAGGCTAGACAATCCCAAGGGTGACAAGATCACCTCTGAAACAAGACAGCTTCCAGAAAAAACCAAGAGCACCCACTGGCCAGGCTGTGGTCCCGTCCTCAGGCTGGATATTGGCCTTAGGAGAGTAGCTTCCATTTTTCTCCTGCACTACCCCCTACCAAACACCTGAAGTGGAGTTGGCAGAGATTGGGAAAGAAGGTAGCAGACTAGAAAGTAGCCAGAGCTTTCTACCTTTATTAGAAATAGATCAGGAATTTGGCTTAGGCATTTTCTGAAATTTTCAACAGGAGTACATTCTTATAAACTGAGCTAGCTTACCGGGCCTCTGAAAGTCTTTGCTTTTACAAGTATTACTTTTGGGGTAACATAAAACTTAGTTTGGGTTACTAGGATAAAATGTGGCCAGGAATTCACACTGAGGGTAGAGGCAGGCTCCAGAAATCTGGCTCAGTGCCCAATCAGGACTGGGAAAAGCCTGACCAAAGATTTAGACAGCCAATCAGTCCCTTTTCTTCTTTTCACAAGAGACTAAAGCTGGGCTGTCAAGTACACCAAAAAGAGGAATTGTAATGGCCCTGTCCTGATTCAGTCCTCAATTTATAATCAAAGACTGCTTCTAGGAAGCATGACAGTCAAACAGTTCAAGTGACAGTCAAGGGGGCCAAGGATACAGCTCAGTGGTCCTGTGCCTGCCTGGCAAGTGCAAAGTCCTGAGTTCATCTCCAGTACCAGAAAACAACAACAACAACAAGAACAACAAAAAGTGACAGTCAAAGCAAGTGGTGCCAGGGGAAGTTTAAATCTGTAAAAAGACTTCAATCCCTTTACCATCAGCAGCCACTTTTTTTTTTTTTTTTAGTACCAGGGATTGAACTCAGGTCCTTTCGTTTTCAGGGCAGGTGGCAGAACCACTGAGGTAAATTCCCGCCCCCTAAGCAGCCACTTTTATCAGACCTGAGGATAAGGCAGATATCAACTCTTGAAATAACAAATAGTTGACTTTAGAGAGCAAACAGGCAGGGGATTAACTAAAGCTAAGCCTCAGCAGTGCCCACAAGCTCTTGGTGGAGAACAATAGGGCTGATTTCATGAGCCACTAGGAAAAACCACATTTCAGGCTCAGTTCTACCTATGGCTTAAGCCTAAGCAAGTCCTCACTTAGGATGCAACCTTGCTGAGGTTGGGCTGCATTTTTTCTTTTCAAGTCGAATCTTTCTTCAGTTTTTTAAATCCAGAGTACACAAATATATTGCTACTGTTTATTATTTTCCTGGAGTTACTGATATCAGAGAACATAAAATCCAGATTTGCAGCCTTAAGAATTTTAAGACCTCCTCATTCCAGAGATGCAGATGAAAACAACACTGAGATTCCACCTCACCCCACAAAGAATGGCTGCTATCAAGAAATCAAACAATAACAGCCTGGGCCTAGGATTTAGCTCAGTGGTTCCACTGCCTGACTTGCAGGCCCAAGGACCCAGGTTCGATTCCCGGTACCAAAAAAAAAAAAAAAACCAATAACAAATGCCGGCAGGGGTGTGGGGAGAAAGGAGCCCTTCTCCATTGTTGGTGGGAGTGCAGGCTGGTGCAACCACTGTGGAAATCAGTATGGAACTACCTCAAAGAACTAGGACTACAGGTCCCATTTGACCTAGCTATTCCCCTG